AGTAAAATAATTTGAAATCTGAGAAAAATTTTTGACTAAAAAGAAAACGACTAATTCTGATTATTTCATTTTTGCAAAATTTAAAACCATCTTTTCCAATCTTTCTATTTCACTTAATACATTAATGCAACTCTTCCTGTTTTTCTTCGATCGATACTTTTTGTTTATTTGAAAAAGTTAAATATTCAAAAGGTTTGCAAAGAAAATATTTTCTATTTTATAACATGGAAAATATTTTCTTAAAATTTTTCTTAAAATATTTTCGATGTTATAAAATAGATTCTCATTTTACTGATTAAGAAAGTTATTCCATTTTCTTTTAGTTTATCAAATTCTTCATTTTCAATTATAGCTCTTCCAATGAAGACAGTTTCATTCGAGAAATGAATAATCTTGAAAATTCGGCATTTCTATCGTGAATTTATTTATTAGCAGTCAAATCAGTTTTTCATATTTGACTAAAAGGATTAAAAATATTATTGAATTTGTTTCTTTTTTAAATTTTAATAATTTTCCTTTTCATACTGTTTCAATATAGAATCTGAATATATATATAAGTCATCTTAGAAATCTGAATACAATGTCAATTTAGAAATTTGAATTATTAATTAGATTTCATTAGCAATAGCAGTAGCAGTAGCACAAGTAATAGTTGTCTCATTCCGGTTTATTCATTTGTTAAATACGCCCATTAGATAAATGATAAGAAGTGATAAATTGAAAAAATTTTATTATTTGTTATCACTTTTTCGGCTACTACAAATTAATTTCTCATTTTTATCATTCACTAATAATTAAAATTTCAAATTAAAATCTTATTCGTTTACAATTTTGAATGATAATTTATTCTTTTTGCAATAAATGATTTTCTTCGATAATATCTGCAACGGTTATTTATAATTTCTTCTGTAATATCTGCAACGATCATTTTTCATTTTAGTCAAAATAAATTTTAACAATTTTAAAATAACATTACTGTAAAAATTTTAAACAAAAAAACATTTCTTTTTTGTTATAATGATTATTTTTTTGTTTAAAAGAAAATCTTCCAAATTTCATACATTTTTTTTGATTTTGAAATGATAAGAAGAATTGATAACGAAGGCATTTTATCATCGATTGTTTGCATAAAAAGTTATCAAACATATTGTTTGCAGAATTTTTGTAGTCAAAACAAAAAAATAGAAAAAAGGGCCAAATTGAAAATAACGATATGTGAAGATTTATAAGAAAAGGTAAGGAAAGAGAAAGGAAGAGAGAGAGAGAGAGAGAGAGAGGGAGAGAGGGAAATATGAAAGAAATGTTGAAAATTATTAGAATAATATATGCCCATAAATATATTTTATTTTATATTTTTGGCATAACAGTCGTAAATGGATATTAAAAAGTTAACAAAATGCTTTTATCATTAAATTTTAATTGTGTTCATTTTTTTTCTGATTGATAGAATGATAATTTTTTTTTTTCAACGCATAACCTTTATCAATACGGTTGTTAACCTTTACGTGATGATAAATGTTGATTTAATTTCAGGTGATAAGAGTTTGTTTATATTTGATTTTTTTTCTTTCTATTTACCTTTCTTTTTCTTTTGAAACGATAGGTAGAAAATTGGAAATTATTTATTCAAGTTCAATGAAGATAGAAAATCCTACAGAACGATGGGAAGATAGCAAACAAATGCAAGTTAAATTAATTAATGTTATATACAAAATTTGAAATTGATATTGCAAGTATTTGATGAATAATTTAATATAATTTTGTATACTATTAAATGAAATATACAATAATTATTCATTTATTAACAAAAACTTCCGATTTCAAATTCTAACTTTTACTATGTAAATAAACAATTTTTGTTTTCAAAATTTAATTGTTGAAAGTAAGAAAACAGGTTCAAACTATTATTTTATTAAGATCGGTTGAAATTTTGATTTTCCAACTTCATTTTTTTATTCCATTATCAGTGTATTCTGTATACTGATTTGATTTGATTACAAAATATAGTGTCAATTAGTTTATCAAACACTATCAGTGTATTTGTATACTGATTTGATTTGATTATGAGTAATTAGAATACAAAATATAGTGTTAATTAGTTTATCAAACATTATCAGTGTATTCTGTATACTGATTTGATTTGATTACAAAATATAGTGTTAATTAGTTTATCATACTATTCATTGATATAAAATTAAATTAAAAAATAGCAATTTATTTACATTGTGAAATGGAGGAGATTTTAGAAAAAAAAGCGTAGCCAGCAATATTTGTTGATAAATGTCGCTGGTTGGAAAGAGTAAAGAGAAAAATTAAGAAAAAACGGAGCAATGTAAAAAATTTTTTAAATTTTACGAATTTCTCACTTCTTTCCACCCCCTCCCCTTTTCCCTACTTTTTCAGCCTACATGAAGAGGGAGAGAGGGAAGGATAGGAAAAGGGTATGAAGATGATCAACGTAGAAGGATAATAGTACCAAGGAAGTGTAACAGGCGGGGGAGGAGGAGGAGGAGGAGGAAGCATACTACCGTTGCCGATTCTCACCGTGCAATCGCTATCAATATATATATCAGTCCGGGAATGATTAGTTGGTAGAGAATGTCATTCCAAGCATTCTTCAAAGTGTTGCACCTAAATCTACCGATAAAAAGAATAAAATCACTTTGTCTTTCCTCGCTTATATCGCCTGTTCAATCCATTTTTCTTCATACCATTTAAAATGTCATTTAAATTTTAACCATTTGAAATATATCAACTTATTATTAGCAGACTAAATAATGATAACAGAAAATATAATAGTTATTTAAACGAATAATAGTTTATTTACCGTGATATTCTTAATTGTGAGCAAAATTAGTAACAATGTTATTTAAGTTTTTATATTTAAAACTAATAATAATATTGATAATAATAACAACAACAATAACAATAATAATAATAGCAATAATAAACAAATATGTCCATAATAATTAATCAAAACGAATATGAAGGGTATCCAAATTTTTTATTTAGAACATATCTAATAAATTTATATGTAAGGCATTTTTTACCGTGAATTATCACGATTAATACAGTAATACTAGCAATGCTTAAATTCCAGTAATCTATTAATGATTATTAATCATTAATAAATTACCAGAATTTATTACTAGAATCTGGAAGTTTTATCTTTCGATGGATCAACATTAAAATGATGGTATAAAGAATATATTTTCATCAATTTTCTTAGGTTTAGTCCTGACTAAATATAGCATTTCTGATAAATATGATTATAAAACTTTCAACGCAAAAATATTTGATAAGTTGTGTAAACAACGTCTTTATATATCTCTTCAATTAGTCAATCAACATCCTCATTTCATGATTCGTCATAGGATGATACATATGCAATAATAATAGAATGATAGTCAATATTCATTATAAGCACTAAAATTGCCCTGATTTTGATGGTTACTGCTGCGAGTGATATTAACTAACTGATCATCGTTATAACGACATGATAAGTGGGTGTTCGCATTTGTGGATCTATCTGCAGCAAATTCGTACTACGCGAAAATTTATGATCATCGCGTTCATCATGGTTACTATCAAACAACGCTTGCAAATAAAATGATCAGCTGACTAATGAAACTTTCAATTTAATCGCATCGTGAATGAAAGCATATATATATATATATATTTTCATTCACGTTTTACACATTTTTCATTGTCATTAAGCCGTATTGATAAATTATGAGTCAAATATATTAAATGATTATTTTCACCTGCTGGTGAACTTTTCCCTGTGTGTTATTTTTGTCCATAATTACGTTATTTTGAAATATTAAAATTGCTTCCTAAATTTGATCTTTCTTACTTTTCTCTTTTCTTTATTCTTCTTAAATATCTTGAAATATCTGGCCATCAGAAAATCTTTATTTGAGTTTCTTACCTGATCAAAAATATATGTTGCGCTAATTCTGATTACTGGATTTTTTGCAGTGCATCTCCGGAAGGGGAAGCCAGGGCATATTAATACTAATCAGTTTGTGAGATATGGATGAATGCTTGAATAAAATAAAATGAATTCAACAGTTGAATTTGATGTTATGCTATTTTTATTCCTTTTCTTTTTCCTTCTTTTAAAGGTCGTTCTCGTTCATCCATCAATGTTGATAATGCTGTAGGAATAACATCAATTAATTTCTTCATCTTCTATTACATATTTCGATATCCGTTTTTGTTGCAACACATTTTCTAATCTAATTATTTTCCTTATCATTTTATGCCTGATCCTTTACTGATCCGTTAACAAGATCACAATCTTCATTGTTTATGATTTTAACGTTGAAGAATTAAGTTATAATTATAAAGCTATGGCAAGAAAAAAATCCTGACAATCATGCTATTTTAACTAGTCATTTCTGTTAGCAATCATGAGTGCTAGAAAGCGGCTAAAGTTGAAAAAACAAAGAAAGCGCAACTCATAAAGACAAATGATCATAATTAGTGGAGGATTAATTTATATTCAATTGATTAATACTAAACATTTTTTGCAGAAAATACCATTATTATCTGTAATATCGTTAATGACCATTGTGTTCCTTTCTCAAAAAAAGACAATAAATTATGATTAGTTAAAAACTTTTGAAATTGTAATTATAATTAGCTTTCAGCATTATAATTTTTTATTATTAACTTTCTTTCTCTATCGTATTGCGATTCAAAAATGAACGATCCATTGCTGATTCCTTTTACTGATTAATATCCATCTTGTTCCCTGTTCCTGTTCCTGCTCTCATTTCCTCCTATGTCATACTTCCATTCGTGTTAATATCACGGAACGGCGGGAATGAATACAGTATAGTTTGGACACAGGTGAAAGAGAGGTGAAAGGGGCGAGAAAGAAGGAATTATGTACGAGTAGGCCGGATCGGAAATAAGGGAAGGAAGAGACGGGAGGAGGAGGAGAGGGAGGGAGTGGAAGAAAGAGGTTGAGTGATTGTTGTAAAACGACATCAATGGCACGAAGACTACAAACGTTCAAATACTTCAAATTTGCAAATTCCAGTTTTACAACGACAAGCACAGCATTCCATCCAGCTCTTTCTCTGTTTTCTCCGCAAAACGCCAAAATACCATCAATTCATCCATTCATCCGTCGATCCATTCATCCGTCGATCCATCCATCCATCCGTCCATCCACCTATCCGTCCATCCATTCATCTATCCATCCGTTCACCTATCCATCTATTCATCCATTCGTCCATCCATCCGTTCATCCACCAAATCCATCCACCATCCGTGCCTTCATCCGTCCATTCATCCATAGAGTTGAATTTTCGCACCCTTTTCCACAGTAATATCAGTAGCTTTATACTAAAGAATGCCATTGCATGAGAAAGAAATATTTATGTTTAGGGATTTGTTAAAAATGTGGAAACAACAATGGTTGTA